TGAATGAGTTCACGCGATGCTGATGTAATTTATTGTGTGAGAAACTGACAGAGACCTGTGCCGACAGAGACTCTCTGATTTCTATATTGGAGACGAACTCACTAGCCAAGCAGGTGGATGTGGAAGCTCGTGCTCTTTGCACTAAAAATTGAAGTCGGTCTGATGTGGCTTTAAAGTAACCTCTCCCGGTTCAGTAAAAACCTTTTTTGGAGTGAGATTAGAGGGAGCGTATGTTATTGCACGATGATACCACTTTACGAGCACGTGGGAGTTTGTGCTGCCTACACCAAGAATTGAAGGCGAACAGATGTGGCGTTCTTCTCTTATCTCTATTGTTCTGTCTCTCTTTTTTTTTTATCAATTTTTTTTCTCCCCATTTTTTCTCTTTTCTTCTCTATTATTCCCTCTTTTGTTCACTGGAATCTTAGATTATTTTTCTACCAGCCGAAATTTCAATGAATTCTTCTTAGACACTAAAGATTTAATTGGACCGCGTTAAGCAGAAAGGAACTAAGCCACATTAGCTATTGCCAAATTTAATCAGACAATTTATTTTCTTACAAGAAAACGTTTGTGCGGATTCCTGTGAAAATTTTGAGGAATCTGATTCGTAATATATGGAAAATTCATTGAAAATTGCACTGAAATTCCCCACAATCTTCTTCATGTAAGTAATTAAATTGTCCAATTGAATTTGGCAATATCTGGTATGGCTTGGTTCCTTTCTACATGGCGATTATGATCCTGGCAGTCAAAATAAAAACATCATCCAAGACACGTGCGTACAAACATACTTTATACAAAACCCGAAATCATATCCAGTTCAAAGCTTTTGAAATGTGGGAGTCTGAACGTATTCTGCCTACAGATTGCCACTCAAACCGAGCCCATGACCCATTAAAAAATGAAAATATTTACAATATAATACCTCGACGACGACGCCACCAGACGCGAGATCCATTTGATGAGATTGAATGATCTATCAACATCTAATGTTCCGCATATTGATGGAAAGCCTACTGCATTGGAGGCAGCGTGCCAGTTCGATTGAACGCATGCCAATTGATTTTTTAATCGCGTTATTCAGTTTGGTTTACGATGTGCCTTATGAAATTTAGAGATTTCTGCAGATGAATAAAGGATTGATGAAGATGTGTGTGTTAAAATATTTGTGTGATTAAATTTGATAAGAATCAAATTCATCCGACACAAATCATAATGAAAAATTCCATAGTGTTTTTCAAAAGAATATTTACACCACACCTCTTACCGGGAGTTTGGTGGGGGATTTTGTCATGCAAGAACTTGTGTATTTGCGTGAATCTCTCCACGCATTTTCTTATCTCTCAGAATGTTGTGATGTTTTCGGGGGGTTCAATTACACATTATGGCACACAAAGAGAACACCCGAAAGAGAAAACTTATCATTTGATATTGAGGCTAAAGTTGGATCATGATTCCTATTTACGCTTGAGTTCGAAAATCATATACCAAAAACTAAAGAAAAGGCTCATTAGAATTTTCAACAACTCCTTCGCGAGAACATATTTTTTGAACTGCGAAATCTGAACCGTCATTACTCCGTTGGAATCTCAAGTAAAAGATGCTGCTAGTCAGGGCCGGATTAAGGGGGTGGCCACATGGGCCGCGGCCCATGGCGGCAAATCTAGGGGGCGGCTTTTGCAATTTTTTTAAATGTAGGTATAAAAAATTTCCGATTTAGAAAAAAAAATTACAAAAGAAAAAAGGCGACAAAATCTCTCATTTCTTGAGAGTATAGTAATTTCTAATTTTGTCGTCTTTCAGTGATGCAAGTGACAGCACCTTTAATTAGTCGAGTTAAGAGAGAACCAAACCCGCAATTTGGCCTGGAACGGCGCGACTTGGAGAGAAATGAAGACGAGGACTTTAGATGAAAAGGAGAAGCCCTCGGCGCGGCGATCGATCGGTTTGTAACATATTAGCGCCTACAAGCCTGCACGAATACTTCACGCATTGCATCAAACACAGTGCGGTCACTGCGGTCAGCGTGAGACGGATAGCGCCTGCTAGAATGCATGAATACTTCACGCATTGCGCCAAACACGGTGCGGTCTGCGCAGCGCGGCGCGGCGGAAATTAAAATAATCAAACCACATTTATGTTTGTTCTTTCATAATTTTTTCGTTCATTTTTTATGAATGGAATGCCTTGTCCGCAAAGAGATAGGTTTACGAAACTTAAATTTCGCGCAAAGTTCCGTGAACTTTTGCTAGTAGTATTGACAGGGCTTTTCCAAAAAATGTATCCAACACGAGTAAACGCGTCTCATGCACCCCACCCCCGCTAGCACGTTCACTTGATGGTTTTTATTTATGTTTCAAAACGAATGAGAAGGGGGCGGCAAAATACAGGCGGCCCATGGGCGGCAAGTAGGCAAATCTGCTCCTAGTAAAAGTGAATCAGACTGACGTCAGGCTATATGTTTCATTAACTACCCTGAGTCAGACTGCGATGTCAGCCGGTGTGTAGCAGGTTTTTTATTTATTTTTAGCCCAAAATGCAAAAAAGACGATCCTTTATAATCTGGTATTCATGTTTCCATTTTAAGCTTTTGTGGAATGAAGACCCTTTTCCCTTATTTCGATCATATACATTGAAAACCAACCCGACAGAAACATGACCCCATGACGAATAACCATCCTAATTCCGGTCGTGAAATCGATCGACGGCTAAACTCGATTACCAATCAATCAGCAAGAAGCACGACCATACGACCGAAGTTCAGAAATCTCGCACGACAATTACATGACACGACGTCGGAAGAAATGAAACAGTGTTCAGGACTTGAGACTTCGCAAAGTGACAGAATTTGGGGGGTCGGTCGACGTCTGTCATCGTTGAGGCCCGCGATGTCGTTCCGAATTCGGCCTCGGTCTGATATATTGCTTTTTTGGCTGCCAAAATTTTCGGCGCGGCACAGTGTTACCACCACCTCGGTTCAAGAGGTCAAGCCGAGAATGAAGCCATATGCGCGCCGTCAAAAGCGAACCAATTTCGGTGATTAGCCGCATGGGTTTTTTTTAAGGCGCCTTCGGTCCTATCTCCTTCAACGGAAATGCGAGAGTGTCACATTTATACGAAATCAGTGAAAAACTTGTGACTGGATTCACGAGTCTAGATGCTTCGCCCTAAACTGTAATTCAAATAGCCAATATTTTCAATTTGAAACTATAATTTCTGGCTCAAGTCAGAAACAAAGTATGTACCATTAGTTTCCCTATCCATGTAAGTGCTTTTACAGATGAGAAAGGCATTTCAGTTCCTAATTACAAAATGCAGTCCATAACCGTTGATCATTTCATAAATTGAGTAATTTACTATAACATTTTCCGAAGCAAAAACACCGGGATTGTTTCGATCGACAAAATTTGATCAAAAAAGAAAAAATGAGAAAATACTTTTCGATTACAGCTCGATCAAATTGATGTTGATTGGTTCACATAAATGTTTTTCGATCAATTCTTGTCAGTCTCTTATTCTTCCTCTTCCCTTTTCTTTCTTCCTATTTCTTCCTTCACTTCCTTTTTTTGCTACTTCTTCCTTGCCTATTACTTTTCTAATTCCCCTTCCTCTTTTCATCTTCCTCTTTTCGTCTTCGTCTTATGTTATCTTGCGTCTACAACAAGTTCGACAATAGAGATCGTCCGACTTTTTAAGGGGGACGATACCACTATTCTACCACGTTGGACTTTGTGTTGCCTACACTAAAAATTGAAGGCATCGTGAATGAGAACGGAGGTCACGCAAATATCTCTTTTCACCTTGCCTCCATTTTTAGAGGCAAGCCAAAACACATCTGGAGTGCTCCAGTTGTTACCTATTCGACCACAGCGTCCATAAAGTGGGATCTTCAGCCAAAAAATGCAATTGAAAATTGTTCTCAAAACATGGCAACAATGTGGTATGTGCGTGTTAGAACATTATATTTGTCTTAAGTTGCCGCGGCCTGGCACGAGCGGTGACAATCGCCAGAAATCTTGGTGTTATGATCCAAGACCTGCTCATATCTGCGCTTAAATAGGCTAATTTGTCCCCAGCCGACGATGGCTTGGTTAGCGCACGTGTCAGGTATTGCGTCTCTGCTTTCCTCAGCACTTAATTTCAATAATGTATTGATGCCTGAAAACTCTGAACAGTTATTAGTCGTTTTTGGTCGGTTTCCAAAATGAATCCACTATTTTGAAAAGGGCGGAAGTTCAAAAACCGACTTTTTCACGATAAAGAAGAAGCTGATGAAAATTTCAAGAAGAGGAAGTAAGTCAGGATTTGATAAATCAGGTCGCGCTTTTCTATCCATTGAAATTTCGTCATTTTTACAGTATAGATGTGCGTACACGCAAAAAAGTCCAAAAATGTAATAAGACGATTTAAAAAGAAAAAAAAAATTGGACTTCCGCTCTTTTTAAAACAGTGGATTCAAATCAAGGATCGTTCATGACATGTAACGCTCTAGGAGGGGTCATGCGTTACGGGTGTGTTACGAGGGAAAGGGAGAACAAGGCTACTGCGTTCCGTAAAACATTAACATGGGCGCACAGCTCCGATTCTCGCAAATGTAAGATGAAACATTAACATGCGGTATGGCATAATTGGACTACATTTTGCAATTTGGAACTACAAATTCTGGCTCCTCTGGAAAAACACTTATGTGCATAGGGAAACTAATGGTACATACGTTGTTCTTAAACCGGGCCAGAATTTATAGTCCCAAATTGCAAAATGTAGTCCAATTCATCCGAGCATATTTTATCATGAGCATAAGCCGATACATATTTTATTGCTCATCAACCACCATCAGGAGAAACAATCCGTTGACTTCAAAACTTAACTTCTGCCTCAGCCGATTGTTTAGATTGTTAGTGCGAAGTTTCTAAAATAAATTGTCTCTACCGGTAACAAAATATGCCTTCTATTTTTGGAAAAACCCGCCTAACCGTACCCTGCAACTTCTGTTCCAGATGCTGTTCTTCAAGGAGGAGGACGAGCAGACCCTGATGCAGACGGAGGAACTTCGGATCTCTGCGTGCAACTTCCTCTCGCTGCCGGCCAACGGCTTCGTCCGCGCCACGAAGCTCCGTCACCTTCGTCTGGACTCCCTCAACTACTTCCATTTCTTCCGCGGGGTGTTCCCCTACCTGGAGACCCTCCACGTGGACCGCGTCGCCAACTTCATCTTCGCCGAGCTATCGCTGAGCACCGGGAAACAGCTCGAGAGGATAACCCTCCGCCACACCAACCTGAAGGAGCTCCCGCCGTTGGCACTTCACGAGGCCCGCGGCTTGAAGAACTTCGATATCCACGGCTGCAACATCACCACGGTCGCCCCAGGGGCGCTCTTCAACGCCAACAACACCAACTCACCGCTCGGTCTCCGCATCACCGACTCAGTTGTAAGTACTGCTTTTCCATACCTCGACAGAGGAAAGGCCATCGTGCTTAAGTGAAATCGTCACCTTCCGGCCAAAGTATCATAAGCGTCATGCGACGTTTCAGAATTTCCGCCACCATTTTTTTTTTTTTTTTACAGAAAAATTGTTGGTTGAATCTGTTTGAAAATTTCACTGAATTTTACAGGGCCGGATTAAGGGGGTGGCCATATGGGCCGCGACCCATGGCGGCAAAATTAGGGGGCGGCAAATTTTGCAATTTTTTAAATGCAGGTAATCGGATTCAGAAAAAAATTACAAACAAGAAAAGGTGGCAAAATCTCTCATTTCCTGAGAGTTCATTAATTTCTAATTTTGTCGTATTTCGGCGATACAAAAGACTGCGCACCTTTAATTAGTTGAGTTAAGAGAGAAACCGAACACGTAATTTGGCCTGGAGCGGCGCGGCGCAAAGAGAAATGATGACGAGGACTTGAGATGAAAAGGAGAAGCCTTCGACACGGCGGTCGACATGTAACACATATTAGCGCTTACGAGACTGCATGAATACTTCACGCATTGCGTCAAACACAGTGTGGTTAGCGCGGCACGGTGGAGGAAGTTAAAATTATTAAACTACATTTATGTTTGTTCTTTATTACTTTTTTAAGTTCAATTCTTACAAATGAAAGGCCTTGTCCCCACAGATAGGTTTACGGAACTGAACTTTCGCGCGAAGTTCCGTGAACTTTTGCTAGGAGTGTTGACAGGGCTTACGCAAAAAATGTGTCCAACACGAGTGAACGCGTCTTATGCACCCTTCTCCCTCCTGCACGTCCACATGATGGTTTTTATTGATGTTTCAAAATGAATGAGAAGAGGGCGGCAAATTACAGGCGGCCCATGGGCGGCAAGCAGGTAAATCCGGCCATGGAATTTTATCGACAGCACAAAGAAAATTCAGGGCAATTTTCGGAAAGCTTCATTGAATATAGCTTCTCTGTAAAAATATAAAATGGCAGCGGAAATTTTGAAACGTCGCATGGCGCTTGCGATACTTTGGCCGGAGGGTGAGGAAATGAAGGGAATAACCGCGAGTTTTTGTTTTGATTGATTTGTTTTTGATTTGATTAAGTTTTTGACTCACTGCCAACCTCCTTTGCAACAAAACGAACTTCTCTTTAGGGAACCTACGCCTACAAAATTTTGACGTTTTTATTCTTAATATGAACTAGAGACGTGTGGAAAAGATGGGGTGTGCTTGTACAAGCTGCATAAGAAACGATGTAAAAGTGGACGTGATTCCTTTTGGCAAAATGGGACAGTGAAATTTCACGTCAAAACAAAAGGAACTGAGCGCCATTTGCCAACTCATGAGCTGTGGGCATGTTAAAAGAACGTTAGGGACAAGGCTCATGAGCCAAAGAGTTCCTCGTCACGGTTGTCGATGTCGACGTCACAGGTAAGGTGCCCTACAACTCCCATTCATTCGAACGACCCTCAACTAGTGAGCACTCTCTATCTTTCCTACCCGCCTCTCTTTCATTTTAGCATAAACACGTTCATTTGGGTGTAATGCTGGCAGCAAAGAAGACCACGTCCAAAATTATCTACCCACCTCCAGAAGTGAGAAAGAGAGAAGATGACGTGACGAGGGCCACATTTACTGTCACATCTTTGGAAGCTTTTACCTAATCTTTTTTTTTATCATTAAAATAAAAGAAGCTTCTCCTCTGATGTGCTGATAGAGGTGAAGACTACAAAGTAATTCACGAGTGAAACTTTCGGCTGAACTGACGTATTCATAATTTGCATTTGTTGAGGCAACATTCGTAACGACTGCACTAATGCATGAAGTCTTGGCTTCGTCAGCAGTGACCGTGAGAGCCTCCTCCGTAAACGAGACACAATGCAGCTGAAATTGCGTCAGTCCAACTTAATTCATCCCACCGATCCCGCGATTTTCTCGCGAGGTTACGAGGCAAAGGTCAAGAGCGATCCCCTCCTCAGCCCTTCTGATCCATTTCGGTGCCAAGAATGAATCCCTTACTTTATGACGTATAATTTCGTCTCTTATTTCTGACTCATTTCAATTTCTTTAGTCTGAGTGACTTGAATGATCAGCGAGATAGCTAAAAAAAAGGTTTATGATGTTCGGATCCACCTTCCACACTATTTTGCTGCGGTCTGCGCTCTTCGGACCTTGGTTTCTTCCAAACCAGTGGTTCTGATATTTTTAGAATAATTTATTTTTTAATACATTGAGATTTTTGGAACCATTTTAGATCTTGAAACCCTGTCGTTATGAAAAATGTTTGATCACGTTGTTCCCTTCCAAATTGTGCCACTTTCTCCATTTTCCCTCTTTTTTATTTCTTCTTCTTCCTCCTCCTCATGTGCTTTGAATGGGGCAAAAAACCATTTTTCTTCAGCTTTCACTATATTAGGCACGCATGGGGTTGTTGAAATAATAGAAAACTTTGTCTTTATCTCAAAGGTTAGTCGTCAAAAATCAATTTTTGCCATTTTCGAATTGTATTTATTTGTTACATTTTTCAGTGTGAGTGATTGTAAAAATTTAAATTTAATTTATTTATAAGAACAGAGGTTTCATTTCAATTTTAAAACGCAAATTAAAATTGAAATTTTTTCCCGAATATAATGTGCTATTATAATTAGGAGTTTTTAATACTCGTTTCGGAATTATTGGAACCTCTCAAAAATGGGATCCTCGTCCAAAAAAAGGAGAAAAACTGATCATGAGCTGGCCTGCGTTCGAACTCGCAATCAGTCACTTACTCCTTAAAATTAAAGCCTCGTTTCCGTGCAGATAGCAAATTTTATATAAACCAAAGCAGCATATTCTCTTTAAAGATACCTAATCATTGTTTCTAACCCCAACAGCAATAATTAACAGCCGTCCATCGTAATGAAATACATCAGGCTTTTCCCCCGATTTTTTTTTCATTTCTCCCTTTCCCCATGGCTAATCCCCTAATACCACCTTTGCCTTTCTACAGCAGTTTGACTTGAAGTTCGAGACCCCCTCTTTCTCTTACGGGGCTAACGTCATTATTGGATAGCAACATAGGTGTAATGAATGACTAATTGTAAGTAGAGGGAAGACAGCAGGAAAATGAAAGGACCTTATCTTCACTCAAAGTAATTGGCATGACACCTTCTGATAGTAATTATCCACCCATTGAATGAAGGTTCGTCGTTCTGGTGTAAATCCAACTTACTCTTCCCATTCAATGACCCCGCCACTATCATACATTACGCGGTCTTGCGTCCACCGCGCGTCGCGGCGCGCCACGGCCGCGTTGGCATGTGGCGGTCTTTCTCGAGACACCACGTTTTCAGTCGGGTGATGCAACCGGCGCTGTGGCTTAGTTGGTTAAAGCGCCTGTCTAGTAAACAGGAGATCGTGAGTTCGAATCTCACCAGTGCCTACCTTTTTAAGCGAAGCAGTGGCGCGTCGGAGGGTATAGTAACAGTAGAGACGAAAGGTGAGATATCAGGCCAACACAAAGTATACAAGACGTGATATCGCAAATGGGTGCAACAAGAACTGACTGAATTAACATTTTAGCACCGATTTCCCGTAGTTTGCATTTTAATTAGAATTTAAGTGCACAGGTGGAACCAAAAGTCTGGCCATTCTCTGATAACCTATGAAGAGTTGCACTGAGAGGTTTGAAATTTTGCGTATATTCCTCAAGCGCAATAAGAGATACTTTTTCCACACTCACAATTTTAAGAGCAGGGGCCCCTGGCGGGATTCTCATCCCTTCACCTTTTTTTTCTGGGAGTACCATCTTTTTTGATGAGTAGTTTCAAAAATATCGAAAAATCGGGAGTTTTTGGAAAAATTTCGAGCCAATACCCCGATTTTTCAGCATATTATTACTACTCAAAGTTTTGAGCAGGGTTTAGTCAATTTGTCAAAATTCTAAGATCTCTATTAAAACATGTATTGAGAGAAAATGTGGTTTTAAGGTAATTGTTAAGATGAGAAAAAAAGAGAAAACAAATGATAAAAAATGATGAGTAAGATTATCAGTTTCACAATTAAAGATAGTTCCCATTTTAAAAATGAGGAGGGGGCAAATTTTGTTTCACGATTCAGTTCAGATTCAAGTTCAGTTTGATAAGGTCCAGTTGCGCCCTGATAGAGCTGCAGCGGTTTCCCGAAAACTGAAAATCTTGGACATTTTAACTTCCGCAATCACAATGATTCACAAAAAATGAGTGGACAAGAATAGGGCAACATGCGAGCCGTTTTTGTGTGGTATCATCCCCTCAGCTACCAGAAAACATAACAAAAAATACGATGAAATCAGTGCCGGATCCACCTACTTGCCGCCCATGGGCCGCCTATGTTTTGCCGCCCCCTTCTCATTCGTTTTAAAACTCGATAAAAACCATCAAATGAACGTGCCAGCGGGGGAGGGGTGCATAAGACGCATTTACTAGTGTTGAACTTATTTTTTGAGAAAGCCGTGTCAACACTACTAGCAAAAGTTCACGAAACTTTGCGCGAAAGTTAAGTCTCGTAAACCTATCTCTGTGTGGACAAGGCCTTCCATTCATAAGAAATGAACGAAAAAATTATGAAAGAACAAACATAGATGTGGATCAATGATTTTAACTTTCGCTGCCGCGCCTCGCAGACCGCACCGACCGTGTTTGGCGTAATGCGTGAAGTATTCTGACAGTCTTGTAGGCGCTATGCGTTTCACGCCGACCGCTGCTGAACGCACTGTGTTGAACGCAACGCGTGAAGTATTCACGCAGTCCTGTAGGCGCTATGCGTTTCTCGCTGACCGCACTGTGTTTGGCGCAATGCGTGAAGTATTCGTGCAGTCTTGTAGGCGCTAAAATGTGTTACATGCCGATCGCCGCGCCGAGGGCGAGGGCTTCTCCTTTTCATCTCAAGTCCTCGTTATCATTTCTCCTTAAGTCGCGCCATTCTAGGCTGGTTCTGGAAAGTGCTGTCTCTTGTATCACTAAGAGACGACAAAATTAGAAATTACTATACTCTCAGGAAATGAGAGATTTTGTCGCCTTTTCTCGTTTGTAATTTTGTTTTTATAAAACCTATTTTTTTTATACCTACACTTTAAAAAATTGCAAATTTTTGCCGCCCCATAGATTTGCCGCCATGGCCCGCGGTCCATGTGGCCACCCCCTTAATCCGGCCCTGGATGAAATTGAAACCCGCGACCCTGTTGATAAAACAAATGATGAGGAATCATGTTGATATTCTGAATATTCATAAGCCCCTTGGCCCATGTTACAGATCTCGCAAATCATGGAGGACGGCATCAACATCCTGGGTGAGGAGCTGGTCGTCCGTAACTCGACGATCGGGATGCTGGGGCCCCGCTCCGTAACGGCGGCCGTCCGTAACTTCGCCGTGGCCACCTCCACGTTCACGGACGTCAACGCCGACTCGCTCCACGTCAAGGCGGCCGTCATCAACATCAGCGGCAACGCTTTCGCCGCCCTCCCGCCACCTTTCCTCAGCGACCTCCACATCACTGATGCGGAGCCCGCCTCAGCGGAGGACATGTTCCCCGATGAGGACCAGAGGGTCAAGATTGAGTTCGTCAATAACTACCTGGACGATATCGACCTCAGCGCCTTCTTCTTGAAGCTCCGTTATCGAGAGGTAGGAAAATTCTCAGCCTTATCATATAATATCATACAACATGATATAAAATCATATGGGTAACGCATAACGCATAACGCCTGGGGCACGAAGTGCTGCGGGGGGTTGGACCGTAAAGTGATCAGGGAGCGTACCCCTAAAGGAAGAATAATATCGATAATAAACTCCAAAATTAGGAATATCTCTATCCCCTAAGGCGTAGGTGAAAATTCTACTTCAGTTTTTTTTTTTTTTTTTTTTTTTTTTTTTTTTTAAAAAAAATACTGAATAGGCCTATTCTACATTCTATATTCTTTAAGCGAAGAGAAAAAATCACGAATACTTTTAAAAATATAGGTTTTTCGATTGGAAAATCAAATTTAATATTTGGTTTGCAGTGCCGTAAACTGACTTACATGGCTCCTCACTTTAATCATCGATATTGAAGAAAGCCTGCCCTTTCAGTCTTTCATCAGCCCTTGTTATGCCAATCTCGGAGAGAAATTATTGACCAACTGAACAAATAATAATTTTTGTGTACCTATATTTTTTGATCTTAATGACTGAACACAAAAAATATATTATCCTAGTGCAGCGTTCAAGAAATGCCAATTATGTTTGATGTTTATACGAAAAGACTTATTTCGCTCAATTTGATTGCAGGTGAATTTCCAGAAGAATCGAATCGACTGCGATTGTGCTCCGGCCCGTACAGCCGTCTTCAAACTGCCGACTCTGTTTCCAGGACTATCCCCGATGGCCAACAGAACGGCTTACGAGTACATCATCGAGCACAATTACTGTGCCCAGCAGAACGTCTCGCTCGGCGAGTACGGTCGCCAGTTCCTAGGGGGCGCTGTGTGTTCCGACAGAGCCCTCAACGATGCGCCCACGGAGCTCAACGAGATTACCGATGAGCCCATTCCGCAGAAGAACTTGCTAGCAGCTGGTGCTGCTGTCAGTCATTCGCTCTGTTTATGGTTCATTGTCGCCGTTCCCTTGCTCAGGCTTACGTGATTTGCCGCTTGATCGTTTTTATGAAAAGAATGAAATAAAAGCAATGTCAGCGGGTAGATCTTTGAAATTGATGGACAAAGCTTCAGAGAAAGATATAACAAAAGGGACATGGAGGGATCCTAATGGCAGAAGTGCGTGGTTGCAATGGACAAATGAGGTAGGTTAGGTATAGACTAACTAACGGCAACTCTGGAGAGACCCTATAGTTAGCCTATCATTTTCTTCTTTAATCTATAGGAACCGCACTCATTTCAACCAATAGGATTGCTCCATTCCCCCTTATGTCTTCCTTGTCTATAGCTTTGTCTATCAGTTGCAATAATCAGCCCGCTGGAAGGCAGCGATGAAGAGAGATCCTTTCAAACCTCCTCAGGGTAGAAGGGAGCTTTTACTATCGGGGATTCAACATTTCCTTATCATGATGCATGTAATATTATCACTATACTGGTGACAGACATTTGCAGTAGTTCCAATTTTTATATTTTTGAGAAGTAGAGAGTTTACTTTGTTTAAAGAAACTTTCCCGGAATTTACTGAACGATGTAAGGCCACAAAAGCAGTCGCGCATGGATAACTTGTGCATGGACCATGGACTGCGGCATACATACTATCAAAAAACGGAATGAAGTGCGGGAGCTTTAAATAAACATATTTAAACTCTCCTAGGTGTCTTATTATTGTTCAAAAAAAATTCCGGGAAAACTTCTGTTAACCGAGTTGGCACACTCTCTTCGTTTTAAAAATTGCAATAATTCAAATGTATTGTGAGGGCTTATTGCGAGCCCGCAATACTCATCCGCGCTCTTATTTGCTTTTGACTACTTCATTATTGGCTGATGAGTAAGACAGTTCAGTAGACCAAGCAAGTTTATCAACCATTGGCTCGTTCGCTGAACGAATTATTCGACGCGTCGCTCAACAGCCCACAAAAGTTTAGGTCAACAATGAAATGTTAGTCCTGAAAGTAAGAGCTCCCACTAAATACTGTCAAGATATCAGTATCCGTGGACGGTATAACTTGGTCTGTTAAAAACATGCTTGAATGGCACTGATCAGGTACAGCCTGAAGAACCTTTAAAGACATGGCAGAAATTCAAGCATCTAAAAACACGGTTTTTTTTTAATATCAACATTTTACGCAAAACGTCATTAACATTCTGAGTATACCCAAGATCAACACATACGAGTGAGATTAGCCTTTATTGTTCACATTCGAGTTAGAGAAGTCGTACTTCCCACTTGCGGAAAAACCAGAATCAACGTTCAGGTTAAATCTGTCATGCTTTTACTGAATTTAGTTAATTGACCAATATGACTTCAGTATACTTTGGTCTCCTCAAGAGATTGAATGAATAAACAAAAAGCTCTGATTCCTCACTTTAAAGTTGGAAATTTCCATGTTTCAGCGTGTTTCACATGTAGTTTTGATAAGATAGCGTACATTGTATCTGGGCCTCTTATAAGAGGTCCCTTTCATCACAAATTGTAAATATTGTAAATGGTCTAAAATTAAGATTACCACAAAATTCAAGGAATAAATAATACACATTTTTTTTTTTAAAATGTGCTGCAATAATATTTTATCAGTGCGCTCTTTTCCGATCGCAAGTTCACATGAAAATAAGTCATGGACATTACGTCTTAATTTTATTCTTTCCCAGAGCCACTCACTCGCAATCGCCTTTTTTCCTTTGGAATTTAGTCTTTATAATGTGTTCATGCTTAATTTAGGGGCGCAGTATCTCACCATACGTGCCTTGCTCATAAGTCATTTTTAAAATTTGCTTGTATTTAATAATATGTACGAATTATGTGTGGAAGGTTTGACTGACTGGAGAGGCACACAATACCTAATGCGTTGAGTCTAAGTTCCTATTTCCCAAAACCCGCAATATAATCGTTATTCAGAATTTTCAAAAAAAAATTGTGAATTTGTTGAATAATTTTTGAGCATGCAACGATATTAAACAAACAAGATCACTTATAACTTCACTACGACCACAAGAATGAAACTAATTCCAATAGTAAATTAGTTCTCGTATTGACAAAATATACGATTCCAAAGTTGATTCTATGACATTTAAGAAAAGAAATTGCAATAGAATTCGTTACGGTACTTTTGTTTTCTCATCCCATACCTTGTTTCGACATCAATATCAATGATTTTCGTGTATGTCTGAGAGAATAAGAATGTGCGTTTGTATTATATGTAAATGTAAGAGTTACAATTAAGGATTCAGTATTGTGAAGTAAGTTACTATTTTGTAAATATAATCTCCTCCTATGGTTTTTACTTCGTCTTTGCATTTCAGCATAGTCTCTTGTGAAACATAAACCCCTCATTCAACCCCTAAAATTCATTACATATTATTTTATCGTCCCTTCTTTGTTTAGAATTGTTTTTGCAACCATTCTTAAATGATTGAGTGGACGCTGAGACATCAAAGTATGACGTGCTGTGAAAAGACGTGACCCTCATCGCTAGCAAACCATGGCAACATGAGTTTCAATTGGAGGGCAGCTCCTTCATTTCGCAGTATAGATAACTATTGCTGCTCTCAGAGCAGTTTGTAGTCTACCTCTCAAATTTAAGGCGGAGTCTAGACATTTATGCCTACATTGTGTTCTTGCGAGTTCCCGCCAGCAGCGTCTTGAGATACGGTGCGGTAGTTGAGGCAGTTGAAGTCAACGTAACTCGATTGGATTATTTCCTTTGACAGATGTTTATAATACCGACCTCTGCACCTTTAATTTTTTTCTATCCTTTACTTTTCTTTCATGTCTTTTACTTTTTTCAAAATGAAACGTCAATGCTTCCCCCATTCTACTCAATTAAAGTTCTTTGCAGTTATTGGTTTAACTATTTATTTGTCTCCGGACTCCAAAATGCACTCAAAAGCTGAGCTCCGAGTCGGCTGCCGAGCGAAACCTCAATATCTATTTTTTTATCTGGAGGGCTGCTTTTTAAGCCTCTCAAGTTCGACTAGGGTCAAGAGACTATTTTTAGCCGCCCAAATATGTACCAGTGAAGTGAGACGGGGCCCGCCTCAGCGCCAGAGACCGCAGCCCCGACCTTCCGCCGATGAATGATGGCCCACGAGGTTCACCAATGTCACCGATTACACGTTCAGAGGAGCGGCGTCGGCATCGGTTCGTCCCACCGCTCAGTCGGGTGTGTTCGAAGATCCGAAACAAGGCGAGCTGTACATTTCCCTATGGTTCCTCACATGACGCAATACGTAAAGGACTCAAAATGAACACAATTTAAAAGTAACGCATACCCAATCACAATTTGGGAAGACAAAATGGGTCAACTGTGGTGGTCAAATAATAGTCTGAAAACTCTTGTAAAAATTCGAAATTTAGAAAATATATGAATGAAAAAAAATGATGCGATGGAATATAGTCGTTAAATCTTGGCCTTAATATTTAGTCTCACAATGAAGAAATAAGAACTTTAAACCTCATTTTCTCCCATTCGAACTTGATGAAACTTGGTGCGTGTCTAATAAACTCGGTCCAAGTGTATGGAGTAAATAGGTGTATGTCCAATATGTTAGAGATGAATGTTGTAAATAGGTAACGTATGACGTGTTCCTTACTGTTCAGAACTCCGACACTTGAAATTTTGCACGATAAAATGGTACTAGCTGTTCCATGTGACTTAACGTTCATATAATCCGTTGAATTCCTCGCATATTTTTCAATTATGTTCTGATAAGAGAAATTGGAGCAATACGTTTAAAAAAAGGAGGAACTAACTGTATTGCCATCAGGCTAATACATTTTACATTTAAATACAGGTACTTTAGCACAGCAGATCATAGTTTGTCATATTTAACTCCTATAAAATTGTTTAATTTAGAAACCAAGGATATTTTCATGATCAGCTTAATAGGTAGTTTTCATTCAATTAATTAATTTCATCTAATGTTTAATGTTTAATACCCACCAACTCTTCACTGTCTAGTCTTAGCAATTAGCGGTTTTTGAATTAGCAATATAAGCAATTAGTCAGTCGCACCGTCGACTCGTATATCAGCGATTGAATGAAAATGGGATGAAAATTATTAGAATAACCGACTTAGTTTCAAGTTTTCAATTCATCGAAAATTTCTGTAGCTAGGGCTCTTTTTAAAAAACGATGGATGCAACATTTTAATTTTATCCATTAAAATATCGAATAGACACGCACATATAAAAGAAAAGTGTGTTAAGTTTCTTAACAACTAAACAGAGACAGAAAATATTGTTTCGGATGGGGATGAATATTCTTGGTAATTTCAATATTTTAGCCATCAAAACACACACATTGATTTGGTGAATTAAGTCATTCTTTGGTCTGTTCTTAGTTACTTGCGTACCATTGTGCGTCAATTTCAGACTGAAAAGCAGCTCAATTTCACTTATTGTCGCTTGATTTGTCCTCAACTTGTTTTGTCTTGATTATCTCAACCCAAGGGAATAAACGTCTGAGAGAGGCTCACTTGTTAATTTAATTCGTTCCTCAATTTATGATTTCTACTTTTCATTAGTCTCCACATGAACTCGGCACAGTGCCAGCCCAAACAATGTTTGTTGATTCTTGACGGAATGAGATGGAATGATTTGTTGATCCTTGCTAACAAGGCTCTCTTCATGGATGAGCGTTGACTTTGTAGAAACGCAAAAGTTTTTTGCCAGCCAGTCAAATATGAAGGAGGAACACAAGTCTAAGATGACGTGCAACTATAAAGGATAAATTTGAAACGGACTAATAATACCTTTGCGTTTGCCCAAGTATTTCTAATAAAAGTTGAAGAGTAAAACTATATGAGAAATATTAGATCTATTTCATGAAAAAATAACGATTTACCCAATTAGCACAGTACAACTAAATTATTGAAATAAACTGGCAATTTGAAATTGCAATTTTTTCCATGAAATTGCAATATTTGTTACATAATTGGGTGATAAATGCTGTTTTTAAAGTATCAAATGAATGAGTTCCATGTGTAAAAAGGTAGGCAATTTGAAATGCAAACCGAATTGCAACTTTATTTCAATTGTATTGCAATAAACTTCACTATGAAAATCCCCTTCAATCAGTGAATAGACAACACG